GGAGACTCGCTTGAGCCTAGGAGTTGGAGGTTGCTGTGAGCTGGGATGGCACAGCACCCTACCCAGGGGGACAGCTTGAGGGTCTGTCTCAAAAAAAAAAAAAAATAAATAAATAAATAAATAAAATTCCATTTTGCAATAGGTCCTTTAACCTTAAGTCATTTAAGGTTTTTAAAGTTATCATCTCTTGACCAATGAGGACAATGATATCCACCTAAAAAGTGAATCCCAAGTCTGGAGCTCATGTGCATAAAGTGCAGAGAAGCACTTGATTAATCATGGTATCACTGTTACTGTACTATTAAGATGTGGGTCTAAGTTTGGCTTCAAAGGAGGGGCAGCTCCTGGACTCAGATTCTGTTTCTAGAGAACAGAGGCTGTGTCTTGCTCAGAGATCCCACCCTGGGTCATAAGGGCAGGACTCATGTTGGGCACTCGAATCTCTTTAGAACCACAGGACCATGATTCTGGGTGCTGGCTTCATGAAATAAGCCTGGCACTGATGAGTCTGGACAATTTCACTTTTAAGATGCATCTCAACTCCCTCCACTTCCTCTGCCATCTTGCTAGTTCAACCCACCATTGTCTGTTCCTTTAGCTCCCCAAACCCTTTTGTCTTTCCACTTCTATCCTTCCTGGTCAAATCCATCCTCCAAAGTGACTTACATTAAAAGAAAATCAAATCAGATCAGACCCCCGCTCCGATCTTTAGTTAGGTTCGAACCTGCCACCCACTGTACTACAGGCTCTGGAGCCAGTATGTCTGCTTTCTGCTGGGCATAGGAAGCACAAAGGACCTGGCTGCTTCCTTGGAGAGTGGAAATAATTCAGAATCAAAGTTAGCATTTTAAGTGATGTGCTATAAAAGTTACTTATCTCAAGATCTCCCCTTGATTATCCAACATGCATCAAATCCCCTCCATACTCTCCTGCACCTGCAGTCATCACTGTTGGTCCCTGCATCCCCGTTACCTGGTCTGGGGACTCATTCCCCAGCTACTGAGTATTGGCCGTCAAAGGCTCACAGCTGTAATGTCCCTAGTAATGCCCAGGTTATGCCCTCTCTGGGGGATGGCAGGAGGGGTGGAGCCAATACTGAGTATGAAGTCCTAGCCCCCTAGTGCCAACACTGTCGGAGCTCCCAGGGGAATATAGCCTGAGGCAAGACTTCAGCTGCCACCTCTTCACTTAGCTTCTTTCCTCATAGGGATCACAGCGAAACCTGCCCTTTACTTTTGGTTAATTCGTTGAAAGATCAACTCATAATGATGATAGATTAATAAGTAGAAAAGTTTATTTTCAAATACTATGTGCATGGGGGGAACCACAAGAATGATTTCCCAAAGTCTCAGCGATGGTCAGTGGCTTTAAAGATGCCTTTTAGTAGGAAGGGGGAGAGAAACTGGAAAACAGACAAGTGGTTGCTAGGAGGGGAGAATATGGTAGAAACAGACTGATTTATAAAGTAACCCGAGTGACAGGTATCGTGCTTCAAATGACCCTTGGAGCCAGGTCTATTAGCATGTTGATAAGGAGGCCAGCTGCCTTTTCTGAGTCTAAATCAGATTACTCAGGTTTTATGGAGAGGCCAGTGCTTTCTGATCAAAATGGCCTTTTAATTTAAAATATTCTTTATACCAAGGAATGATACTTTGGGGTGAACTTTCCTTAGCTCCTTCACCCTGCTCCATCCTGCTTCCCTCACAGGGTTCTCCTGAGAACACAACCTTGATAAATAACTTTTAAGAGAAAACCCTGCCTCAGGCTTTGCTTCCAGGAACCTAAGTCACGTCCTTTATTTCTCCTTCCTAGCTTATGGCACAATTTGAAACCAGAGACTTACATGGCTATTGGTTTAATGCTTATGTCTCCCCCTAGAAACACAGGCTTCATGAAGGCAGAAGCCACACTTTGTTCATTGCTGTGTTCTCAGGATCAAGTATAAGACCTTCCGCAAAAAGAGCAATACACACACTTTGAACTGCACATCTAGCAGGAACAAAAGGGCCACAGAGCCTTAGGGCTTCCCTGGACAGACACTTTTCTCTTTGGGTGTTTTGATATAAAAGGTTGAAGAAAGTTGTCATGGCAGCTTAGCATTTCTTGTGTCCATCATCCTCAAACCAGTCCTAGATGGGCAGATTCCAAAGCCCCAGCTGACAGACTCACACTGGCCCAGGTTAAGATTACCTATTTCCTGATACAATGAACAGTCCTGGCCCAATAGCACAGGTCACAAACTTGCCCAAGGAGGCCATTCCTGGGGAAGAGTGCAGTTCTCAAATGCAGATCATAGACAGCTGTCCTGTAAGAATCACAGTATGATTCACTTGAAATCAAGACAACTCCCAAATTCTACTGGTCTACCAATATTCCAGGGAAAGGCTAGGCTGGATTCACAGGAAATTTTTCTTGTCAAGTTCCCAGACATTAGTGCTTTAGATACTATATACAACAGGTTATAAAATCCTCTTTTAGCAAGAATGTGAAAGAACTGTGGCATATTAGGTATTTTAATTTTTTGAAAAGCTTTATCTTATTAGAAATTCTTTTCTCTAAACATAATTCTCTTTTCTATTAGATTGTCTTTCTTTGGTCATTAGAGACTGGCACTTTGGAGTCTTTATTCTAAGACATGTGATTTCTAGGCAGGACCACTGATGCAGAGGGAAGAGATGAGCCTGGCTGTGTCTGGATTACAGGGTGCTTGCTACACCATGTTTCTGGTTGAAACTCTGTATTACTAAGCTCATTTTTGATGTACCTCTTCCCCCCATAAGGCAGGAAACAAAAAGACCCAAGTGAAAATAGGATGAAAAGAGATCTAGATTATTCAGTTTTTTTCAATGAGGGACACAGAAGTACAAGCCAGGACTTCTTTCTACAGCTTACATGTTGGAGAACATAAAAGGCACTGTTTAATAGAGGCAGATAATTCTAGGAGATAAGTATGCACGAATGTGTTCTGCAAAATATATGTTCTTATACAAATGTATTAACTACATACTGATTCCATGGTGGTTTGGTTGTATCTGAGAGTGCTTTGAGAAAATAAGAAATGCCGTCACTGGATAAAACTAGTGGTCCCTCACCAAAGAGCCTTTCTAGCAGCACCGAAGGAAGTTGTAAGAACAGCAGAGGCGACTGGCAGATAACTACTCAATCAGCAAATTTACCAAAGTTTGAAAATACCATGGAGAATCTTAGGTATTCAGTGAATGGTGAACTCTATTATAGATTCATAATACCTACAGGCTAAATCCACTCAGAATGCTTCTCAAAGTGGGGGGATTGAGACGTTAATAAATCTCACAGGACACATATAATAAGTAGGTGAGAAATGTTAAACTTTGATAGTAAAGTAAAATCAGAGTTAAAGGCAAATGTTTAACCACTCATGTTCAAACAAGCTACTGAGTGAAGAATTTTAGGTTTCAACAGTCAAATGTTCTACATATGTGAGAAATCTGTTTGTCATGCTGATGAATTTTTTTTTCCTGTTTTTCAGATAGAGTCTGTCTCCCTAGTGCAGTAGTATCATCATAGCTCACTGGAACCTCAAACTCTTAGGCTCAAGTGGGTTTCCCTCCTCAGCCTCCTGAGTAGCTGAGACTACAGGCACACATCACTGTAGCTGATTTTTCGTTTTTAGTAGAGATGGGGATCTTAATCTTGTTCAGGTTGGTCTCAAACTCCTGGGTTCAAGTGATCCTCCCACCTCCACCTCCCAGAGTGCTAGGATTACAGGCGTGAACCACCATGCTTGGCCCTCCTTCTGGTGAATATTTTCACATTGCACTTTGCTACTATAAATGTGTGTGCATTTTTGAGTGTTGATTTACTACTCAAAGATTTGAATTAGGAGACTAAAAGAACATTTTATATCTATGTATTTAAAAAAAATCCATTCATAAGGAGCCGAGTGTCAGTTTCCAACGGGGGGGACATTCTCATGGAGGTACTGTAAGGCTAAGTCTGTCCACTTCATTTCCTGTTCTTTGACAGATTCTGTGGTGCCACCATTGTCTTGTTCAGGTTCAGGAAGCTCATTCTGAAAAGGTACAATGGACATTGAGAATAATAATACATTCTGTATTAACTTCTTAAAACTCAGAGCATTTAGAATTAAAACCTGTGAGTTCCTTGGATCAGGCAACATAAAAGACATGTATACTCTAAAGAAAGAGCTAAAATAAACAGATGCAAGGAAAATATCAAATAGATCACACAGACGTAGCCTGGTCCCTCTTTGGTAGGGAGCAATGGGCATCCTGACTCTGGTGTTTGTGTAGGGGGCAGTGTGGGAGAAGAGCTAAGGGCAGAGGCTTTGGCAGCCAGCTAGGATCTAAATCCATAGTTCCACCATCTGTGGGGTAACTTGATCAAGGCATTCGAATCCCTGAAGCCTTTGTTTCTCTTTGGAAAATGGGAGAAAAGAGTAGCGATCACCTCACAGGACTGCTGTAAGGATTAAATGAGGTAATTAGGTGGTTAGCATTGTATGGGCATTCAGTGCTAAGAGCTAGTACTAAATCTTTTTTGGACAGTGTGCTTTAAAAGAATACCAGATTTTCTGGCATATTCCTTAAGCACTAGAAATGTATCCCAAAAGCTATCCTGTACCCATCATACCTAAGTTATTATGAAGGTGGAATGGAAGGGAAACACTGAAAACGTAACGTAATAGACAAGACCTCCCTCTGGTGGTGGAACCGGGCAACATAAGATACAGCAAATGACCAATCACACCCTACCAACAGTTTCTGAAAATGGTTAAGTGCAGATCTGGGATCATTTCTTTATATTTCAAATTTAAATTTACTACTACTGAAAATCTGCTTCATGCCAGAGTTCACTGACACCAATATATTCCTTTTCTACTATCTGAATTTACATTTGATTTTAGGATTAGCAAACTAGTTATTCAATATGCAGACTTCTGTTTTCCCACGGTATTACAATTTGTAATTGTGAATGTTTTTCTCCTTTAAAATTATATTAATACATATTACATGATTATTTACTTACAATACGTACAAGTATATCTGAATCACAAACATTTTGCTCTACTAATAGAAGACTGAGTGGGATTCAAACATACTTGTACAGAATGAAAAGAATTATTATTTATTGTGAAGCAAAAACATACCCTCTTTTAAACTCCAAAAAAGAAAGCCTGATCCTAATCATTACTTATGGATGACAAAGAATAAACAGGCCCTTGGTTAATAAATAATTTTCAGAGTAAAGCAACTTTGCTTAAATTTCATCCTATCAGGCTCGGTGCCTGTGGCTCAAGTGGCTAAGGCGCCAGTCACATACACCTAAGGTGGCGGGTTCGAGTCCAGCCC